GGACCTTCCTCTTCCTTTTGAGTTTTTTCCAGGAGCTCCTTGCTCTTCCATGTGGGTAACACGACACTTGATTTCACAGTGCAACCTCTTGAACCACTCGCAACTGGAAGCTACAAACAGGCCCAGACTTGGAAGGGGCTAAACACAACAATTTTTATTTGGACCTTTTTTCTCTCTTGCTCTTTTTCACGGGCCCAGACTTAAAATTGCATTTCAAATAAAGCAAAAACACTCAGGAAGAAAGTAAATAAACATGTAAAACTACATAAAGAAAGCCAAATTACAAAGTAAAGAAAAAACAGGGCTGCTTCTTAGCAGTGCCTGAATTTTCACAGTTCACTTGCCATATCTGAAAAAAACAGGCAGCATAAAATGTTTTGGCTAGAGTCTACAAAGCTAGTTTTTGCAAAATAGGAAAACATATGAAATAATTTTCTCATTACCTGAGGCAGAAACATCTTTCCAGCACCAAAAAGATCACCAACAATTTTCATGCCATTCATCAAAGGCCCTTCTATTACATTTAGAGGTCTAGGATATTTTTCCCGATTTAATCTTGCTTCTTCTGTATCAGCAGTGACATACTTCTCAATGCCCTGGAAAAAAAAAAATTAAAAAAATGAGCAGCTTTTATCTTGCTAGAAATAGAGCTTTTATTTAGTTGCCTTCTCCCCACAAAAAAATCACAATGAAAGTACAAACAGGTACTTTAGATACTGCTAGTCTTTAAGAATACCTCAAAGAGTATTTAAAATAGGTTTTCTTAGGAAATAAAACACTGTAGTTTGTAGGTATACAAAGTTATTCAAAGTAAGAGTTTCCAGTATTAACAGGTTGGTTTGTTTTTCTTAACCATGTCATAAGAAAACCCAAACATTCAAAGATTGCTTCCTCAGCACAAGTGACACTCAGTGCAGTACTGTTAAAGGACCAATAAAACCCCTAGAAAGTAAAAGCAGTATGTTACAACCAATCCTAGCAGAATAAGGGTCAAAGACTTCAACCTGTGAAGTTTAAAGACAAATCACCACAATCTTCTGTTATTAAATTTAATTAGATTTATTATTAATTATTAATTAATAGCTTTTAAAAGAATGACAGTTGAAGAATTTTTGAAGCCAAAGGTGTCTCTTAAAGTCTGAGCTGAGATTATGTTTCTGAGACCTGATGGGTAGGACAATTTTCTGCAGGTTCACCTTTATGAGAGCATATTCCAGCCTTTCCTCCACAGAGCTTTTCCGCCACTCGTCCGTCTGCACAACTTTTCTTCCTCCTTGGGCATGATTCTGAAGAGGAAAGACATTCATAGGAGCTTGCAAGCATAAAAAGTACAACTATGCACTTTACTTTTAGAAAAGTGAGGACAATTTGAAATACTGACCCATAAAATAATTTTAAATTATTCAAAAAGTTTTTTATATACATGCAAATCATATTGCAAACACCTGTGATGTATAAAGACACTTAGAGGGTCTACATCCCAAAGAGTATATACCTCAATGAAGAAGTAAACAAAACAAACAAAGAAAAAGCAGAAGTGGGGGGGGAAGAAGGAGCAGTTTAATTTTCATGCTTTTAAAAATGATGAAATGACTAATCCTAAGGGTTTAGCTTCTGGGAACATAATTTAAATTGATTCCTGGCCCACACACTACACTTCATTTTAAAATACTAATTAATTTGGCACTAATTCAGTCTCTGCTGGAATAGGTTATGTTATTCCATATCACAGATGTGTTTTCAATCAGGCAGCCTACAGAACTACTGTTTCTCATGCACATAGACTGACCCAAACCCTGCCATACTGTCTTTGCCTCACACTCACAATTCCTCTTGCTGTGAATGCAAAGGCCAAAAGGGCTTCACAACGCAAGAAAGCTCGTAAGCACCCACCCCAGGAAGACTCATGGAAGAGCATGCTGTCCATTACTTCAACTACTACACTCAGGCAAGTCATTTCTTTTCCTTCCTCAATTATTCCACATAATCTGACATCCTTCGGTTCTTATGAACCTGCTGTACTTTTAAGCGCTCATCACCACGTTTTTAATGTTGGAGTCATTGGAAAAGTCACGGAGACAAAATCCCACTCATGAGAACAAAAACTAGAACAAGTTTTCATTCGTTTTTATAGCAATGTTAGCTAACTTCACAGCTTCTCGTTGACAAATCTTATTCCCCTCATAGGTCCAGTTTGTATGAAGGGAATGAAAGAAGGAGGAAAAAGTTGTCCAGAGAGGTTGTAGAGACTCCATCCTTAGTTATATTAAAAACCCAACTGGACACAGCCCTGAGCAACCTGCTCTTGCTGACCCTGCTCTGAGCAGGTGAGGTTGTACTAGATGATCTCCAGAGGTCCCTTTCAACCTCAGCCCTTCTGTGATTCAATGAAAAGGTACAAAGTGTTCCTCAACCTCTGTCCAGACACCTTAGCAAGGGAACCTTTCCATCCTAAAAATAACCCATGGAGCTATAGGGTGGGCACACAGGGACCACAGTGGCAAGCATTACATGCAGATCTTGAAAAATAGGATGATTATACTGCATGCTGAGGATGAAAAAACCTGCCTTTGGAAGCACATTGCCATAAATGGGGCAAAGTTTCAGTCTGAGAATGTTGGCAGCTACACACTTTATGGAAAATGCTTTTCTAATCTTAAACTTCAAATGAAAACTGATGTCCTAAATCTGCAAGGATTGAGTTCCTCATTTTTCCCCACAGGTCTAGCATTCAAGCAACTGCCAAGGTACATTACTATTACCTGAAGAACTAGGAGGAAACTTCACTGGTGCTCTATTAGAGGTGAGATACTTGAGATGGGACTGCATATTCTATGTTCTTTGTGCAGAATAAACTACAGTAATTTGAAATAAAAAGAACATATGCACTTACTGACTAATGAATACACTCTGGTGTTAAAAAAAACCCTTTAGACAAAAGAATTTAAAGAGTATTGGAGGAAGGTCTGAATAAATATTTATACATATGCCTCAAACTCCAAAACCTTATGTAATAATCCTTCTCACTGGCTGTGACTATTCAGACTCTCACATTTGTCCAGAACCAAAATGAAATCCATCCATCCACTGGAGGATGCTTACCTCCAGCAAAAACCTGAAAGCTGTAATATTTTCTGTTAAATCTTATTAGAGTTTTTAAAGATATTTTGAGTCAAGAGTGTCTCTTCTTTGCAACTGGGGGCTGTTTTACTCCTACAATAAAACTACCACCATGAATAAAAGCAGAAATTCCAACCATGGCTTCCCAAACTTCTAGACCTAGAAGGAGTCGTCATCCACTTCCATTTCTACTTTTCATGCTCCACTTAAATTCACATTCAGAAACACAGCTTAAGCAATCGCTTTCTAATTCCCCTTCTTTTTTTTTCTTCCTCTTTATGAAACCCTGAATACCCTAATGGTAAAACTCTGCTTATACAGACAAGATCACTCCCAGGTGAATTGCTTAGACACCAAGAGCACCACCTAAAATAGTCTAAGCACAAGGGATAGGGAGAATCTTCCTGTACTGGCTTTCAACATCTTGCCATTGCTCCTAAAAAACATGCACCATCATAGGGCAAACTACAAACCAAATGAGGTTGTGCACAGAAGTTATACCTCCAGGAGCTACAAAACAAGCACACAAACCTTCTGGTGGGCTTAAAACTAAGAGACACCTAACCCAGAGATATTTTAGCTGTATGTTCTGTTCAGAACAGGATTTCACCAGTTATCTTAAGGCTGATAATCTGGAAACCTTCAGGTGTGTAGTCTTTGTCTTTTGTCAACACCATCATTACAGCATCTCAAAAACACTAAATAGCTGATCCTCCCTCTTGACATTAGTTACATGAAATGAAAGTCTATGGCACAGGTAGGAACCACAAGCAACTACTTCACCTCCTACATATACTTCAAGTAAACCATTACCACTTTAGAGCCTTTTCTGGTTTTTGTTTGGTTTTTGTTTGCTTGTGAGGGGTTTTTTTGGTTTGGTGGGAAGCTTAGTTAAGATTTTTTGCTTCTTATTGGTTTTGGGTTTGGTTTTTTGTTTGTTTGGTTTTGTTTAAAAAGAACACCTACGCAGCTTGGTCTCCTGAAGCATATGAAGAACTCTGGTGCAGGACCTTTCAAGGCACTTACAAAATTGGAGAGGCTCACAAAGAGTTCACATTTTATTCTATACTAATAACTGAATCACTTGTAGTATCATTAGTAACTTCTAACACCCACTGTTATATTGACACGTGCAGTTTATAGGCTGTTCTACCTACCATCAGCAGGGAGGTGTTACAGAGGTGCTAAGCTAACTACTATTCAAAGCTTAAAATTGGAAATTACCTGAGCATAATGTAAAAGTTTCTCTGTCGCATCAGGATCTCTGTTCCAGATCAGATTCTCACACAGCTGTAGCAATTCCTTGTGGATATCATCATACACTGGCAGATTCCCAGCATTCACAATTCCCATGTCCATGCCGCACTGAAAACAACCATACAGAATCCCTCAACCAGGGCTGCCAGACATAGCACTGCATATCTGCCAAATTCAAACATATGGAAGCCAGAAGCACATCATACCTTAATGGCGTGGTAAAGGAACACCCCATGCATTGCTTCTCGAATGGCATCCATTCCTCGAAAGGAGAAAGACAGATTGGAAAGACCTCCACTTATCCTGGCTCCCGGCAGTGTTTCCTGTAGGAATTACACACAGATTTTTTAGAAAAGTGCTTTCCAAAAAGGAAAGCCAAGCAAAGCATTCAGTCCATAAAACAGTTGGCCCCTGAGCTGCTATGTACTGACTACACACCCTTTCTCTCTTCCCTGTTCCAGATCCTTCTAGTTACTCAAATTCACAAAAAGCAATTCAAATCTCCGTAGAAAAAGATACAAGAGGAAAGATCCAGCCTAGTTATGTGTAAGCAACTACCATCCTTTCCATAGGCACAGGTGCTATTCTAAACGTATCAGTCCTCCCACAGCAGCATTCCAGATTTGCCACATGCAGACTTACTTATGGCTCTTCCATCCCCCACTCCTCTGGGAACAGGAGCAGCCAACCTGCCTCCCTGCAGGTCTTGGGAACAGGCTGTAGCTGAACAGCTAACCTCAAGGGTGCAACCTCCTGTCCAGAAGCCCTGTGGTGACAAAAGGTTGTGGAGTCTCCTTCTCTGGAGACATTCAAAACCCGCCTGGATGCCTTTCTATGTGATCTCATTTAGGTTCCTGCTCCAGCAGGGGGATTGGACTAGATGATCTTTCGAGGTCCCTTCCAATCCCTGACATTCTGTGATCCTGTAAAAATAGCCTCTGGGGTGTTCAAGTGCCAGACTGCTACTGAGAGAGCATCTCTAGACTAATCAAGCTGCCTTATGAAACAACAGTGCAAGCTGCCTTGGCTGTATTCAGGTGATGCTCTTCACTGCTGTACTTCCTCACACACCTTTTGGCTAAATAAAAAGCCAGGTTATTGCCCAAATCCCATCTACAGTAACAGAAATTTTATTAATTTAAAAAGGCATTTCTCACATACCTTCAAAGAGGTCCTTTTAGCTAGAACATGAATGTAATTGTTACCTCGTTTAATATAGTATATTTACAGTAGAGATAATGGATTGAAATATATTTATAGAACTATTTGAATTTCTACTGGAAATACAGCAATACTGGGGAATGGCTGCACTTGAGAGGAATAGTCTCACTTGCTAATTTAAAATGCATATAATTTTGCAGCAAGTTTTTGTTGTTCTTGTTTGGGGTTGCGGGGTGTTCTTCTGTTTTGTGGTAGTTTGGGTTTTTAAGTAACCTCAGCAAAATATTTCAGGTTAAAAATCAGCTTGCAACTCACTTTTATGGTTTTAGTAGCATTGATGAAATTTATGGCATACAGGTTATGTTCTTCCATTCCAGTTCCTATGGTCAAAATATTAGGGTCGAATATTATATCATTTGGATTGAAGTGCACTTTTTCCACGAGGAGGTGATAAGCTCTGGAACAGATTGCAATCTTGGTTTCTGTTTCTGTTGCCTAGTGGAGAGAAAGAATCCTTACAGACAACACAAAAAAATAACTCCACTGGGAATATTTATGGTTCCAGTGACTCAAGACTGAGAATCTGAACATCATGAACATTAGAAAAGGATTATATATATAGGAATTTTTATTAAAAATATCACCATGCTTGTACCTGGAGTTTTGACTCAGCTCATTAAATACACTTTTGTTCCTCAACATACCATCATCCTACACAAAGTTTAATATGTGGTTTTTTGACATAAGTAAATTAATTCCCAAAGATTCTACTCTCAGGCAAACCCAAGTTTTTCAACTAAAAAAAATCTTCTATGAAGGAAGGAAGAGTTCAGCATGGCTCAATAGCAAGAGACACTCTTGTGCTAGAAGAGCTACACTTAGAACAGTACTTGGACTCCTCAAGCATGTGACACCATAAGAAATGCTTACATATCAGAGTCAAAATGGTTGCTAAGACTACATAGACCTCTTCGAATCACCTGTGTCAATGAAACAAAACAACTTTGTCTTGCAGAAGAGTAAGAAAGCCTTGCACTCCAGAAGAAAAACACATCTCCTTTAAAGTGACACTCACCTGTCCCATTTCATCAAAAGCCATGACAACCACAGCTGCTCCATACAACTTAATTTTCCTTGCTTTCTCCAAAAAGTCTTCCTCACCTTCCTTCAGACTAATGCTGTTTACAATGCATTTCCCTTGGCAACATTTCAAACCTGCTTCAATCACTGAAAAATTTGAGGAATCAATGCATAATGGCACCTGTAAATAACAGAGAAGTAAGCCAGAGGAATACATACAACTTTAATGAATTAATGCTATTTGCCCATTTGGACATAAAAATGCACACAACATTAATCAGCATTTATGAATAAAAAGTCTCCAGATGGTATTTGTAGATTCACTTTTCTTTAAATGCAAAACTCGGAGCCAATTTAACTCAAGAGCTTCTATGGCAACTCCCCATCACATATCATATAGAGACCTCTACTTCTCCCTGTATTGTCTTGTGTTTCTGAATTAGATACTCAGTTTTAGAGCACACGCTTTGCAGGATTATCTTTTAAAAACATCCTATATCCATAGCAATTTTAAGTTTTCTGGAGAGCAGTACTGTTATGCACTGCCAATATATAGATTAAGGCTCATAACTGCTGCAAAAGGAATCTAAATTTGGCTTTTTTAACCAAGGACTGGCACATATAGAGAATGTTAAAACTCCTGTTTCCTGCAAAGGCCTTCCCTATTACCTTTTCCTCTTCAGGGACACCTACATCTCTTATTAAGCACCTAAACTGGTTACTAAACAAACTAATATAAAAATTTTCTGAAAGGCAATTTCCAACTCAATAAAATGTTCTTTATTGTGCTTTGGAGTGACTCAATTACAACCTTTGCAATATCAGGTTCTGAAGAAATCAAGTTACAAAATCTGGTCATTGCAGCAGGGCCATCCAGCATCCCATCATCCATATTGATGTCAAGAACCTGGGCCCCCATCTCAACTTGCAATTTGGCTATACTCAAGGCTTCCTAAAAAAGAAAATCAAAAACCAAAACAACAGTTAATAGAAAACAGCCTAGTCATCCTCAGGATAACATTTCACTTCTCCAAAATAAGCATGCAGTCAAAAATTTAAAAGTTTGTAAGACATTCCATAACAGAATAAGGAAATGGTCTATGATGTACAATAACATATACAAGTTGTTAGTATGGCACAACTGATAACTAATCTGTTCACACAAACATGGCATCAGAGACCTCATGTGCTGGTAGTGCCATTGATTTTAGACCATTGGTCATATACTTAATTGAATGATTTAAGATTTGCATGGAAACAAGGACTTCTGACTGCACAAGATTACAGGAAAACAGACTCTGTGATAGTATGAAATAAAGGTCTTGCCTCACAAGCTCTAATGTTTTATAACAGAAGAGTACTTAATTTGTGGAGGCTGTTTGGCATTTTTTCCAGCTGCAGAATAATCATCAAGCACTAAGAAGGAAATACTAAAGTTTTCCCTCTGGCCCACATAATTATCTGCACACTCATGTCTGTTTGCTTTCTCTTTTTTGTCAGTCTGCAGACTGAGAAGATAAAGAAAAAGGTTTTTAGTTGTTCACGGTCCCCAACAACACACGTTTAAAGCTCTCTTTATTCAGTATGTTTAACCTGCTTCATGACTTTCAATAGCTTAAGAGTCAGACTTCCTAAAAAACAAACTAAGGCTTTAATTTTGATTGCATGAACTAGAATAGCAGAGCACACTCTGGGGCAGGGTCTCAGCTCTCAAGAAATGTCACTTTACTGTTTGAATGTTACAGTAACAATTTTCACCAGTAAAGAATGAGCCTTTCAGCCTTTTCATTTCTGTCCTGCAGCTGTTTCAAGAAAGCAACTACCTCCTAAGCAACTTTTTCTGTAGCAACTCTCACGCAGCATGTTGGAGCCAGTGATCAAATTATATAAAGATTAGATGCAACCATAATGCTGACCAGGATTGGAGAAGGGAGAGAAAGAGAGTGAGGGCTGCACAGCAGTACAATCTACCCCAAGTCAGAGGTACCCCAAATATGGGAAGGAGGGTTTACACTCCCTTTCCTTCCTCCCTCCTCTGTAAATCCACCCCTAGATAAAGCACAGACCAGGATATTTTCTAAACCATCACTGGCTGTGTAACTTAATTCGAAATGGAAAGTCATATTTCCTGTAACACTTGTCAAAAAAAAAAAAAAAAAAAAAAAGCCCTTCTAAAACCCTTATCACAAATTTATTAGGAGCTGGTAAGCATAGAAACAGAAGGAAAATTTACTTTCTCACTGTCCTGTTTTCTTACTCTTGTAACTGGTATAGAATAGTGCTTTGTGCCAGCAAAACAAACAATAATAGTTCAATGGAGCAATGAAAAATCAGAGCATTAGCTATAAAGATTATTGTTAAAATGTATACTTCATAGTTGCCTGCCATGATGAGTTTAGCAAACTTCCGTGATCCTGCAACATTGCAGCGTTCACCAATATTAACGAAGTTGGTGTATGGTCCAATCCTGAATGGCTCCAGACCTTAAAAAGACATTTTTTAACGTATTTGTAAAAACAGAAAAGAAAAACATATGCAAGAAAGACAAAAGCCCTTTCCTAAACTCTAAAATAAAGGTGGGTGTCTCTAAGAATAGTGACTTCTCAGCACATCAGGACGTGCACAATTCTAATGAGTGACTAGCAAAGAAATGCAGCAAAACAACTTCCAACACATATGTGAAAGGTTTCTATCCTTCCTCAATAACAGTCAATAATTTACCTGACCCACAAAAAATAACAGACAATTTGTTCAATATAAAATGATGTGAAGCTACGATTCTTTGGGCCTCTATGTGTATGCACATACACATCTCTCAACTTCCAATTATGTTATCTCATGACTCTTGGATACATGTCCCAAAAGCTTAAAAGGTGGCCTGGTTGAGGAACATACAGATCTAAACTTTGCTAAAATGAAGGACATTCTAGACCTGGATGGATTGCTTGAACACTGTCCCAATATGACTGGATCAACATCTGAGGCAACATAGGGCAGCTGTCTCACAGCAGGTGAACAAGAATCTCATCCCAACTCTGCCATCAACTGCAGTCAAATTACCTGATCTCTCTGTGCTTAACCCTTTCCTGTTGCAAAGGGAGGATAAAAATACTCACTCACCATTACAAAGTGTCTGAGACTTGCAGAGTAAAATATGCTGGCCTGGTTATATTATACAAGGCTGCAATAACATGTTCCATTAATCCTTTGGCCAAAGCACTAAGATTTAGATCTCGTTACACATCTATAAGCTTGCTGGATTCAGGTAGAAACAGAAACTCATAGTGCTGTTCTAATCAGCAGAAAACAGTAAATAAATTTATAAAAGAAGGTTGCACAAGTTATAAAGTTCAAAACTGTTACACTCCATTTTACCTGACAACAGCATGTATCCTTGTGAGAGAGAAGGCGGAACACGAGGCTTACAGAATTTCACAGCTTCAGCAATCTTCCTGAGATACAGAAAGAGGAAAGATAAAAGGTTTTGATTAAAATTAAACTACTCCAGACAAGACTCAAGCAGAACATACTAGACATATATCTAGATCTCAAATTTATCCCTGTAGCAGACAAGACTAATTATCTTGTTTCACTTTGTGGCCAAAGGCAAAAACTTGCTCCTAGAAGATTCTAATGTAGTTATTTGCAAGGAATGTACAAAGCTGAAGATTTATCAAATACAGAACGTGAGATACTATGCCAATGGGATACTTGATGGATATCAGAACTAGCCCTCAACTCCACTGACTCTTGCCATATTCATGATTTGCTGAGCTGAGCAATTTCTGATTGCAGGAAAAAACAAAACAAAACAAAACGACCACAAACCAAAACATTTCTCTGTGCTAAGACGTGTTTCTCACATGTCGGAATGACTCACGGTGCTCACATTCACTTTTCACTCCAGTCAGGACTGACACATGGCGTCCTTTACGTGTTCACATACCATGTCTTCCCAGTTTGTATCAGGATAAAAAATAATCACCAGGGTCCCTTCTCTTTCAAGCTCAGGTCAAAGTGAGCTACTTCCAGTGTGAAAGATATAAAACACTCCTTCTGACTGGCCAGGACTAGCACCAGCTCTACAATGTTCCCAGATCTCCTGTTCAGACATTTCCCCCTGACACTCACACACTCTCCTTCCTTCTACCATCAAAGGAAACCTTAAGTTTCACTTTGTGGCTAAGAGGGCCAGAAAGAGAAAGAACATAAGGCATAAGCAAGCCAAGATAGGAAGTCTATTCTATCCAATGGTAAACAGGGAGCAGTAATTCTGAAACAATTTTAGATGATAAAACAGTAGAGGTATAATCCTTGTTTGAACCATATCTCTACTCATTCTTCATGATACACATGGCTATGAAAGCCGGGTTATTTCCACTCCATATATTGCTGCTATTGGCATTCAAGATCCATCTTTTCAGGAAACTCTAAGAAAAGCCATGGAGTACTGTTCCACAAAAGCAGCACTTAATTTAATTCACAGTGCACCTGAAGTTGTAGCTCATGAGATACCTGATATGTGCTGGTGTAGTACCACAGCAACCTCCAACTATGTTGACCAAACCATCCAAAGCAAAATTCTGTAAGAAGGAAGGAAAGAGAATTTTGTTTCAAGTTAATAAAGGTATCATATATTTTTCTTTTAT